GTAATTAGCATGCCTCTTAACATATATACAATGGAATATTATCTGGCCATTGAAAAGAACAAAGTGATGCCATTTGCAGTGACACAGATGGACCTAGTCACACTGAGTAAAGTAAGACAGAGAAAGACAAATAACATGAAATCGCTTGTATGTGGAATCTAAAAAAAAAGTACAAACGGACTTCCTTATAAAACAGAAGTAGGGCCACAGATGTAGAGAACAAATGAATGCTACCAAGGGGGGAAGGAGGCGAGATAAACTGAGAGATGGGACTTGACATGTACACACCAATATATATAAAATAACCTGCTACGTAGCACAAGGAACTCTACTCAGTACTCTGTAATGGCCCGTGTGGGAAAAGGATCTAAAAAAGAGTGGACGTGTGTAACTGATCCAGGAAGGAGACTGGAACAGTGACGGCCGAGCTCTTGGGCCTTCCTCCCGGAAGGTGCATACCCCCGCCCTCCGGCTTGGGCGGTGGAAGTGGCCAGTGTCCCCATCGTGACAAAAGCTGTGTTGCCGAGCTTCAGTTCCAGTGCCACGGGCGTCACCTTCAGTCCTCGAGGAGGGCAGTGAGGGTGTGGCCTCTGGCTGCCATCCCAGGGCCGTTGTATTTCAGGGCTGAGAGCGCGCTGTTTTCCCTGTGCCTGAACTTCTCTGATCCGTGAACTTATCCCTGATGGTGGGCCGTGAAGTGCTTTGTTATTTGGGGTTTGGTGAACGGTCTCTGGCGACATCCGTCGCTCCCTCTGTTGGTTAGGATGCATCATTGTCACTCATTAGGAGCAGTGTGACTTCGTTTCTCTGACTCTCTTCCTTCAAGTAGGTTGCTCCTTCCCTGAAATGCCCTCCACTCAAGTCCCGGTGAGCATCAGGGTCCCTTCAGGAGTGAGCCTGACCGTCGCTCCAGCTGAGCCGTGTTCTGCGCGTGCCCTTCCTCTCTGGCGGGTGTGTGTCTGAGTCCCCACGCCGCGTGAGGAAAACGCCTGGTGTGTCTCTCTCTAGCCTTACGTTAGACACTGTTGTGATGAGAACGTTTGTTTACCCATTATTCCCACCATGTAACAGAGCGGAGTGAAGTGAATGTGTGAGTTGTCTCAGCACCCTACTGAGGTGACTCTTTGACACCATTTCCTGTTAGAGGGGAGGAATCTCCCTATATTATAATATTATATTATATTGAAACTTTAAACTGGAATGTCCCCTCCTTTCCAGGAACTTCCCTGCTCCACTCAACAAGTTCTTCCAAAGTTCTTGGAATCATAAGACTTTGAGGAAGTGACATAACATTATGAGAATGACTCCTCCTAACCATTTTTTTTTGTCTTCCTTGACATTTACATCCTTTGTCTGATCAGGAATTTGTAACTCAAATGAACTGTTCATGATAATGAGCCATTCCTAATACAGTCCTGATTGAACACCTCTCTCCAAGAAGGTCAAGGTGCTTTACATACATTATCACAGTTGGTTTCAGAACGTCCCTGGAGTAGGGTGACCAGCCGTTCAGAATCACCTTGGTCTGACAATCCAGATCTCCATGAGGAGATCTCTCCTTCTCGTCTCTGGATCCAGGAGTTCAAGTTCAAAAAAACCAAATTCAAGGCCAAAGTGGCCACGGCTGTTTTATTGCTCCCACTGGTACATTCCTGAGCCTTCTGGATAGTCTTAGATCAGAATCAGAGTCAGTTCTCAGCAACAGCAGGAAAACCCAGAGTCAAGTCTTTGCACAATACTCATGGTGAAGTTCTGTTGATAAAGTGTGGTGGGAAGGCAGAGGAGGACTACTTTCCCCCAAGGGGCTATTGCTGGCACCTCCAAGTGAGCATCTCTCTGGTACCTGCGGTTCCTCCTCGCAGGCTCAGGAGTCCAAACACCGTGTTGGGCATTTGTGGGGGCAGCCATGCAGTTTGTGGGAATCAGCCCTGGTTGAAGAGTAGGGAACTCTGATTTCTGATCACAGCTGTGTCATTAACCAGCTGTGTGTCCTTAGTGGAGTCCCTTGTTCCCTTCAGACGTTGAGAGTATTGGACGAGATGACTCCCAGGGCCCTTGGCAGCTTTAGTCAAATGATTCTGTCCTTGCAGCTCCTAGATTTCCTCATCCAGACCTCTGTGCACGTCGCTGATGGATCTGAGGACTCACAGCGCACTCTCTGTAATACTTTTCTGATCCTCATCACCAGCTTTCTCCTTTACTTACGTGCATGTCAGTCAACCATGTACATGTCATGCCAACCGTGTTGGGTTGGCAGTGTCTTGAAGGCAAGAGTCCTATTCATTGAATTTTTGTGTCCTGTATGTTAACGGTGGTACTCTTATTTCTCCTGTACCTTTAACCTGTGAAATTCATCTTGAGTCTTTTCAGCTCATTGACCTGTACTTGTGTTTCCTATCTGGAAAGACTCCACCCTCATCATCCACCAAGCCTCCTGTCTTCCTCCCTGCCACCTCTTAGAACAAATCTCGAAGTAATTATCTGCATCTATCATATCAACCATTACCTTTCCTGTTAACTCCCACTACCTGCAGGTTGGCATTCTGGCCCCCAGTACCCCCACAGAAGCTGTTTTGATAAAAATTTTTTTTAAAAATCTGTATTGCCAGATGCAGAAGGACCATGGGGCGCTTTCATCGTAGCATCTAACAGCACTTGCTCTGGCCACCAGCTTGTTCTTGAAACTCTCCCTGCGTGGCGCCTGTGGGGCCCGCGTTCCTGCTTCTCTGGGTCGGCCCTTGCTCTGTCTCTCTGACTCCTCTTCCTGGCTGTTGCCCGTGGTTCTGCCCTTGGCTGTCGTCTCCCTTCCCTGAGTCCCTTCTCTGGACTGTTTCAGCCACACCTGTGGCATCAGCCCGCTCCCAGAGCCGTCCTGGCGGCCCGAGACCCGCGTTTGCAGCTTCACACCAAACGCAGGGCGTCCTGACCTGTGCCCCTCAGCCTCTGCCCACCCGCTCCCCAGACTGCTTTCTCGAGTTTTCCCTGTTGAGGCCGTTACTTGTAGGGCACCGCGTTATATGCAGGGCACAGAAGTGAAGTGGACGGGCCAGGGCCCCGCTGTACGTTCAGTTGCCCAGGCCTGGGATTCTGCCACCACCAGCCAGTTGCCTCTGAGGTCCAGACCTTCACCAGCTCCCGGGGGCTCTTGGTAGTCCGTCGCCTCTGAACTGACCCCTCGCCTCCTGAGTCTCCTCCCTCCAACGCTGCAGCCAAAGGTGACTTTTCGAGAAAGCAAATGGGAACTCATGGCTTTGCTGCTTAAACATTCTATACCTGATCGCTGACTTTTAGGTGAAATTGGAACTCCTTCGTCTGCGAGATCGTCAACAGCCTGGACACCGGCTGCCCCGGCACCCCCGACACACGCACTCGCGCTGTGTGCTGCCTCCAGGCGGGCTGGGCGCCTCCTCACCACCACCGCGTCTTTGTGTGCGACAGTCCACTGGTTTCAGACTGCAAGTCCGCCAGCCTTTAGGACTCAAAGCAGATGGGCCCTTTGCCACGCACCCCCACCGCCCTCGCCAGGCAGAGTGAAGTGCCTGCTCCCCTGGACTCCCACTTTCAGCCCCTTTTCTGAAAAGACAAGTCTGCTTACTGACCCCTAAGCATTCTACTCTCATGCTGCTCTCTTTTCTACAGATTGAATGTATTAATGAGTGGAGTGGGAATACAAGTAGACCCCACACCTCAAGGCCTGTGTTCTGTGCATAAGAGCATCTTGCCTTGGAGCGTAAACGAAGCAGCTCTGAATTATTTAGCCTCTCGTCCCCCAGTACTGCTCTCTCGTCCTCTTCCTCTAGTGTCTGGAAGACCCTGGCAGGCATTAGGTGCACGTGGTCTCGACTGCCCGATAATCACTTCCCATCATTTCGGTGCCGGAGCCAAGTAGCATTCCCCTTTCATTTAAATTAGATAAAACCCAGAGCTGTGGCTGGCAAGTGAGGGAAGTCCACTGGGGAAATTAAAGGTTCAGAGAGAATGGGACCCATTATAATAAAAGCATTTGCACAGCCACTGATTCCATCTACCCCGTGGCGCCGACAGTCCTTGGGGTAGGATGAAATATGAAGCGAGAGAACCCGTGAAAGTCATTTGAGGAATTTATTTTAATTGGAAATGGTGGCAGCTTTCTGTGCTTGGAGTCAACTCTGCAGATCACGCACAGGAGTGTGATTGGCATCATTTAAAGAGCGCGGAGCATCTTGTTCCTCCAGGATGCAGGATCTTGGTACCACGTTGTCCCAGGTGCTTTCTCCACCTACGTGAGCACTGAATGTGATTGTCAGCCCCTCCCTCATTCCCCCCTCCCTCTCACCTCGGTCCATTCATTCACCGCCTCTGCATTCCTGTGTCATACTTCATGTTTGATAAAAATGAGGTTATGACACCTAAATCAATCAGTGGGTCAACCTGCAAATTACTGAGGACTCTAAAACCCAAGAAACGGCCATGCAGCAGATGTAGAATGACCAGGAGAAAAATGGACCCTCTGTAATCACTTGTAATAATACAAAATAATGATAGCTGTTTTTTCCTGTGCCTCATTTGTTAAGCACATCACATGCATCTTCTCTGGTAATTCTCTCCGGCCCTACTATATAGATGTCACCTCCATCTTACAGATGAGGAGACTAAAGCTCAGAGGAGACGCCTGCCCAAGGTCACGCCGCTGTAATGAACGGCAGAGCCAGAATCCCCTGTCAGATCTAGGCAGAAACCACACTGAATGGTAGAACCAGGTTATGAATTTGAGCCTGACTGCAAAGCTCACATGTTAAGATACCATGTCACAGAGCCTTGGGACTTAAAAGCATCCTGTTGCTGAACATCAAATACATGCTTGCATTTAATATATAATAGTTCCTGTTAACTGAGAGAGATCTCGTTATGATTTAAATGCTGTTATAACAGTATCCGTCGTCTTGTTGAACAGAATGGGGTTTCTGAGACTGTTGAACTGTTGTTCAATCTGCCTTACCTTCTCACTTTTCTGTTTTTAGATGCATCATCCCATTCAGATGAAACCTGCAGATAGTGAAAAATCAAACGGTAGGTGGTGACCAATTGTCTCCTATTATTGTCTGTTTTCTTAAGCACAGAAATGAGGCTGGTGGGGGGAGAGGGTGCAGGGAGGAGCTAGCTGTTTCTCTGGGGAAGGCGGAGAGATGTGTTCCAGGAGCTTCCATCGGGGTGGGCACCTCTGGAGAAACGTGAGCTTCAGTCCCGTCCCTCCTGTATCAGGTGTAAAGACCTGTGAAGATGCTACAAGAAGTGGTTTTCCGTGTCCCTCTGTTTGGGATGTGATTGGTATGGTGACCCTGTGGCCTTTGGCTCTTGTCTGCCTTCTCTGACAGCGGCACAGGCGCCCGAGGGGGAGGGATGACCTTACACCAGGCAGAGAAGCCAGGTGAGGAGGGCCTTACCCACCAGGACTTAGGCTGACTTTTTTTTCTCCCTTTCCTTTGGTCCTCTGGCTTTGAGAGTGTCTCATTGCACTTTTCTCTAGGTTGTACCCATGCATTTGCATCTATATTCATTCAGAATTCAGTCTGCTGGTTAATAAACACACATTTAAGTACCAAAAAAAAAAAAAGTATGCATTTGGTGAGGTCCATGGAATAATTGACTTGCCTCTCCATGACACCAGAGGGTTGACGGGCACATTTCTCTCTAGAGTTTCTGCTTCCGCTTGTGCAGACCGTCTCTCCCGGTTTTGTTCTTGGGATTGACTGAACGTATGTTAGAGGAATCTCCTGCCTTCCTGGAGCCCAGCACCCCCATCCCACAAGACTGACACGATCAGCGAGGTTTCCGGCCTCCAGGCAGCTCTGCACTTCATTCATTAGTCATGGGGCAGAAGCCACGCACTCGGAGATCTGCACATCCGCATGTGTAAATTATGATGAGGCTCTGCCTCTCCAAGAGGTGTGTTTTTGCTGATTGTAGCGCATCCCACTTTCTGGCCCCATCGACTGGAAAGTTTTGAAGAAGTTCCCTGCCGTATAGGGTTGCTGCTGGCACTGGTTCGCCTGGCGGGAAGTAAACATTGGTGCTTCACCACCATCCTGACCAGCCGCACCCTTCTCTGCGGATCTGATTCCCTTTTCCCTACAGTTCTTTATTGCAGTCGTGGCGTTGGGTGTCAAAGCGTCTAAAACCCGCCACTGCTTTCTTGTGGGATCTTAGTCCAGTCGCTTCATCCTTTGTTTGACAATTCATCATCAGTTACTCTGTGCCGGGCAGGTTAAGCAGTGAATTTTTACAGAAACGGATGCAAAAGACACTGTCCATTCCCTCCTGGAACTCAATGTTCGTTGTCACTAGTTTCAGTATCTTAACAGTCATGGAGAGACTGGACTTTAATCCCATTCATAGAATAGGAATAAAGGTAACTGCCTCTCAGAGCTGAGCTTTTTTCCTAGATATTTGGGATAGTGCTGTAAGTGACTGAGCACTTGTATAAAAGGTTACCTGGTGTCTCCACCCGATTCTTCCCTGGCCCTTAGGCTCTGAGCCAAGTGCGTCTCCCCAGGCAGAAGGCGGGCTCCCCAAGCCCACGTGCTCCAGGTGGGCATGTCTGCAGTCCCTTCTCTTCCTCCTGGGAGAGGGGAGGGATGGAGCTGGTATTTGTGGGGTGAACTCCGTCAGCGAAGGTCATGCTGGTATGTCCAGCCACCAGGAGATGCTCCCTGTCCTTTGGCTCCATAATTATCCAGACTGTCCGGACACCGGTCACGGGATCAAAGTCTGCAGAAGTGGCTTCATTTGAGCCTTAGGCCGTTGTGATAAACATGACAAAAGAGAGAACCGAGTTGGAAATGTGTGACTCAAAATACCTGAAGAGTTGAACCGAGAGAAGGTGTCTCCTGCATTTTCTACTGGGCAGGCGCAAACCCTGACTGTCCGTGGGGTGGCTGCCGGGGAGGTTCAGCACAGCCCGCCGCCCTCTGACTCCTCTGGACACTGAGGGTGGTGTCTGCTTGGGGTCTGGAACCACAGCAACAGGATACAACTTGTGGGGGCACACCCTGTTTTGCAGAGTCTCAAAAGCCAAGCAGGACCGGGTACTGTTTTATCAAGAGGAGCAAATACCCAGAAATGCCATGTCTCAAGAAGCATCCTCTTTCGGGGAGCCCGGATTGACCCCTGTCCCTGCACTTGCTGGCTGTGACCTTGGGCAAGTCAAGTTCCTCTCACCTCACCCAGCCTCCGAGTCTCCAGCTGTAAGAGGGGCTGTGGTCTTCTAGTCTGTGCTGCGCCCGTAAGGCCCACCTCACACTGTCATCCCGCAGTTGTCACCTGCAGAACTTAGCGTCGCACCTGGTGCGAGGCGAGCATCCACTCTGCTCCGCTGACGACTTATCTCCAGCCCTCAGGGGCATCTTCTCTGGTGCCTCCTGAGAGCAGAGACCAGCCCTTCCAGCCTTAGACTCTTCCTGCCAAAGCTTGGGTCTGAACACACAAAGGAAAACCCCCAAACCTTTCTGGGCCGTTGATCCCTTGGCTTGCAGACTGAACTTCATTTTCTGAATTTTCAGTTAAGAAACAAAAAGTCAAATAGTATAAAGGGACCGAAGGTGGCTTTTAAAGTGCTCTTCTTCGTAGAGACTTGGATGGACCCCCACCTTGCATAGTCATGAGCAGACTTCAGGGTTCTCCTTGGACCTGAGTGGAAGAAGGAGAAAGGTATTATGTCCCAAAGCCAGGGCTACAAGCTGCAGGCCTTTTCTGATGTCACGTGGCATTTTTGACAGGTAAGCGTAGTTTCTGCAGGGCTTCCCTGGTATCTCAGCTGGTAGAGAATCCGCCTGCAATGCTGGAGACCCCAGTTCAGTTCCTGGGTTAGGAAGATCCCCTGGAGAAGGGAATGGCTACCCATTCCAATACACTTGCCTGGAGAATTCCATGGACAGAGGAGCCTGGCAGGCTACAGTCCATGGGGTCACAAAGAGTCAGACACGACTGAGAGAGTTTCACTTTCACTTTTTCATAGTTTCTGCAGCTCAGAGAGCACCAAGATTTCTTGGGCTCAGATGCTCAAAATAGCTCCTGTGGCTGTGAAAGAAGTATAACGAGCTCTAATTGCACTTTTTTTTCCTGAGTTTGCTGACATTTATGGATGGCACAAAGGACTCATCACAGTGAGACAGTTACTCTCTTCATTAGCAGTGTGTTCAGATTTCTCCAACTTCATATTTGCTGAGCAGGATTCATCACAGATTCATTAGTGATGGACAAATGAATTCCAGAAAAGCAATCACTCCTTTAAGCTTTTGTCCACTCAGGGATTTTGACAAAGGGAACCTCTGTGTGAGCCCAGAAATGTTGTTTGTTGTTCAGTCACTAGGTCGTGTCCGACTCTTCATGACCCCATGGACTGTAGCCCGCCAGGCTCCTCTGTCCATGGGATTTCCCAGGCAAGAATACTGGAGTGGGTTCACCTTTCATTGTCCAGGGATCCTCCCGACCCAGGGATCGAACCCAGGTCTCCTGCATTGCAGGCAGCTTCTTTACCACTGAGCCACCAGGGAAGCCCCCCCAGAAAAGTGAGTCTGCTCTTGTGTGTTCCCTGCACTTGAGTGTTTTCTGGAACAAACCTGCAAGATCTCCACCCTTCCTGGAACCTGTGCTTCCAGTGGCTCTGGCGTGAGCTGCAGCCTCCAGCACATTTATACAGACTCCCAGCATTTTCATCAATACTTCACGTTCTTGCACTGCGCCAGGCATCCAAAAAAAAGATCCTACTCTGGACCAGTAATAAAACATCAGGGATTTTGAGAACACACTGGACATATGCCCGGGTCTCAACAGCATCCACCTTTTGTGGTGGATTTTCCCTTGCACCTAGTTGAGTGGACGGTACTGGAAGAGCATTTGAGGAGGCGTGGATTATTGCAGGGACCAGCCACACTCACACACACACACTCTTTCTCTCTCCCATCAGAGGGCCTGTTTGCAGCTTTTAATCCTCCATCACTATGCAGAAAGAGCAACCAACTGTGCAGGCTTGAAAGTTACAGGCAGTTGCTGGGTCTGAAATCAGTCCAGCAGTGGGTAATGAGGAAGTCGTGGTGGTTGCCTTTGGTTCTGGGCTTGGGGTGCCAAGGGCTGGAGCTGTGTGCCCTTGTGAGGTCACGCTCCTAGCTTCAAGTATTCTTTTTTTATTCTGTGGACAGAATGTCAGGTTCATTCTGCTTTAACTTCAGCCTCACGGCCTATCAAGGATCCCGAGAGTCTTGCATCCAGAAATGCCACTTAAGCCCCCATCTCCTTCCTCAAGGCCTCTGAAACCCCCAGTGACTGGGCATCCAGTTCCAGGCTCACGAGAGCCAGTATGAGGGGATGCTGTCGTCTGGGGAGGGTGAGGCCTGTAGAGATGAGGATCTGGGTGTCCCCCTGCAGTCACTTGCTAATGCGCTTGAAAAGGAAGAAATCATTTTGAAATTCAAAGTAGACTCTGGGATTCAGAGGCCATAATTAAATGCCATATGTTAGCACCAACACATTGGAAAGTTGTTAATGAATTCAGGCCGCCCCGAATACAGGTGTGACTTTCACAGGTTGTACACCAGGGTATTAGCATATACTTACAATTGGGGGTGGGGGGCGCATTAAAAATAAAGTTTCTAGTCCCTGAACTTAAAAAAGTCCCCACGTACCTGTAATATTAACCCTTCTCATTTATACTGTGGAAGGGGGAGCTGGCAGTGGTCGCTGCTGTGAATCCACTTTCAGCTCGGCTGCTGACATTCGTGGCCACCCTATCTGTGTAACCCCTGGTGTGTGAAGCATTTACCCTCATTCATTCATTGGTTATCCTAAAGGAAGATGGACTTTTCTTCCAGAGGGCGAAGGCCTTATCTTTTAAATCTTTTTTTTTTTTTTTAGTTTCCCTAAAGCACTTAGCAGAACATTATGGATGTGGTAGGTTTATTTAAGCACCTGGCATTCTTGTGGATGGAAAAAAATTAGTGAGCTACATAACTGCTTGGGAATACTTAGGCAAGGCCCACCAGAAAATGCATACAACATTGATGAAAAAGTTAAGTGAATTCAGGATGATTATGTTTACTTAACGTGTTAACGGAGCTGTTCAGCAATCCCTAGAATGGGAATCTGAGGAATAAATTTCAAGAATAAATTTTCACTGGAAGATCCAGGAGAACTCAAGGAGAGGAAAGCTCGGTATTTGTACTTATTCCCATTTTGCCACTAAAGTAAACAAGGTCCAACTGTTAAAACCACAGAGCAGCTTTGGCTCAAGAGATTGCTACCATTCAGATTCCTATATACATGCACACACGTGGCAACACATACACATACACGGGTCTACACACATGTGTCCATTCACACTTGCGCACATGCATGACCACACACTCACACATACGTTACACACACACATCCACATGTGTGCACATACATCCATGCACGGGGAAGGAAGTTAGCACTTTCGGTAGCATGTGGATGGTGTAGATTTTCTTTTAAGCTAATACTTGTTACTGAAAAAAGTGACAGTTATGTTTCCTCCCTCTGCTTGTCAGAGTTTTACCCTTCCATTGAGCCTAGGAGGTCAGGATTTCTTAAGTGGTTTCCTTTTTTTTTTTTTTTTTAATATTCTTATAGAAAGAAATCATTTTTGAACTTCCTCGGGAGCTGCACGTTTAGGTGACTCTATCATTCTCCCACCCCAAAAGAGCTCAAACCCTGAAAACTATTTTGGTTAAATACCGTAATTATAGGTCTGCCAGGGAAACCAAGGACCAACTGGGACTTATCCTTTGCTTTTGTTCGAAAGAACCAAAACTGGATTCTTCTGGATAAGAAGAAATAAAATAGAAATTAGTTTCTTACTCATCGAGATACCAGCCATAGCTCCCTGAGGGTGGGAGTCCCAGAGGTGAGAGTGCAAAGGGGTCGGGACGGTTTCCCGCCTTCCCTAAGTTCCCCTCCCTCCTTGGTCCCATTTCCATCAGTCCCGTCTGTTCCCCTTCCGGTTCAGGGGAATGCCTCACGCTGACGGGCCCTGGGGTCCTCACACTGGAGCTCAGAGGCTCCCATTGGCAAGAAGCCATCTCCTCTCTGGTATCTGATGCTTCTAGAAATGCTTGGATCCTTGGGCCAACCCAGCGTTTGACTTACTGTGCCTCACCAGCTCGTACTAGATGACTGGGGGTCCACTTACTCGGACAGGAGAAAAAGGATTTCTTAAATGAAAACAAATCTTCATCTGCACAAAGCAACTAGGGTTCTCCACGACCTCTGCCCGGGAACCAGAGCTTCCTCGACAAGGTCAACAGGGTCAGGGCCCTGGACCACCGATGACCTTCCTTCCGCACTGAGCCCCTTCTCTGCCGGCAAAGCAGAAAATCATACATCCGGTGCTCCAGTAAGGCGGCCTGCCTCTGGGCTCCCCAAGGACCACCCTTGTTCTTCCCTGACTCTGCGCCTTGTCCGGTTAATATGTGGTGTCCCCAGCCTACTACCAGTCCTTCCAGACCCTGCCAACGCTTCTTAAAGTCCAACGTCAATTCCACATCTAACATCAAGCCTTTCTCAAACCCTGAAGCACATTTCATAGTTCACAGGAATTATGGACTTGTGGTTTTTTCAGCCTGAATTCCTTGGAACCCTCTTTTCTCTGCATTGTCTTGGGAGCTGCAACCAGTGTGGAGAAAGGGGCTAGCAGAAGGGGATTCTGAAGTTCATGAGCCTCCAAACCCAAGTGCTTCAGTCAGCAAACCATATAACCAGGCTACCTTCTCTCCATCACTTGAGAGAGAGTAAAGGAAAGAAAAGAAGAGAAAAAACCAAGTTGAAACCTTCATTCTGTGGACGATAAGACTAAGTTCCAGAGAGGTCTGCTTAGCCCCCAAGGTCACCCATCACCTTCCAGGCAGTGCTGGAGTGAGGACCAGGGTCCCCAAGTTACAGCCCTGGCCTCCTCTCCTGGCCTTGTCTGACTCCTCCAGACTCGCCAGAAACACAATGGAGAGAGCAGAACCCCGGGCTAGGGAGGGTACGGGATCCTGGTCCAGGTCAGGCTACCTCCTTGTGGAAGGACCCCTGGCCAGACCTTTCCCCCTGCTGGGCCTCCCACGTCTCTTTAGTGTCACCCAACATGGTCTTTCAAGGCTGTTACTTCTAGCCTGGGATTCCAGGACTGCGAGCTCCTAGCCCGTCAGTGCCACCCTGTCCAATGTAGCGGTCACATGTGACTTTTAAATTAGTGAAAATCATGTCACAGGAAGAATTCACCTTCTCGCACATACTGGCCAGCTTTCAGAGTTCTCAGTGGCCACAGGCGGCCTTAGCTACTGGGATGGACGTCACAGACCAGACTTCCCCCTTCCTGCCGCGCTCTCCGGGGTGGCGTAGCTTCAGAGGAAACCAGTCTCTCTCCATTACATCAACAGATCATCCGTTCCAGCTCCTGGAAGACACAGACCATGGAGTCTGACTTCGGTACCTGAAGCAATTGGCCCTGGCAAGTCTCAAATACACTCTTGCCAGTTAGAGGATAATGAGATACTTACTGTCCAGGGAAAGAGTAAGAGAAACAGGAATGAAAGCCAATTAAATAGCAATGACGAGATGATAATACAGATATAAAAGGATCCCTTAAGCTAGGACTTTCTGAAGTGCTGCTCTAGCTGGCTATCTTTTATTATTATTTTTATTATTATTATTCTAAGAAATGAAGTGAAACATGGGAAATAAGCAAGCCTTCTCCCTGAGGGCTTCTAGGACGATCTTTTGCACTCTCCTACAGAAGGCTGTGTTAAAGTCCATAATAGTCCTGCCTTTGAGACTGAGCATACGCTGTTATCCTGAGCTCAAGCACATTGGTTTAGGCGGAAAATTTCCCAGGTCATCAGGAATAAACCTTCCCTAATCTCTACCCACTGTCAACTTCCAAGGTTAGAATTTGCGCATTGTTGCCCTGACACCCAAATGCATTTCCGTTCATCGTGAATCCTACTTCCCGGTCTTCCCTGTTTAAGTTAGTGGTTAAAACTCTGCACTTCACTTCTAGGGGCATGGGTTCAATCCCTGGCTGGGGAACTACGGTCTCCCATAAGATCCCACATGCTGTGTGCAGGGAACCCCCCCCCCAAAAAAAATTGTATCTCCAAATGGACAGAAGAGTATTGTTCCTTCCTTGTACTTCTTTTGTTGTTGATGGATTTCACTCTGAGATGGACCCGCCACACACACACACACGAGATTCTCAAACAACTGCAGCCACATTCTCCTGGCTGCAGCTGCCTTCATCTTTAATCATAAGGTGCAGACCACGTGTGCTGCCCTGAGTGGGGCTGTGTAGCCAGTGCTACCAACAGATCCAGCTCCCTGGAGAAATTCTCATCGCTTCTCTCCTGTTCTCGTCTGGACCCCTGAGGACAAAGCTGTTTGAAATCAGGGAAGGAGAATGTTTTCTTCAGTCAGCGCTTTGTTAAAAGCTTTGTTGACCACTTTTTCACTCGGTTTCTGTTGTTTTTCCTCTGCTGACCATTCTCTTTCCCTGTCACTCAAGTTAAAAGAACATCTATGCCCCCACCCCCAACCACAAAACAACATTTGTATCCCTAAATACCTCTATGCAAGGGTATCACTTAGCAGTTACCCAGAACTTTACCATTTTAGTGAACATACTACTGTTTGCTTAAAAATGGAGGGAAAGGACTTAAAAACAGTGTTCCATGTCCCTTGGAGATGTTCTGTTAGTGTACAAACTCCTGGCGTCGGATTAGGAGCTGAGACGCTGAGGAAGGGCTGGGTAGGAGGACAGGGGTGGCCTGGGCGTGGCCTGGGCATCTGAAGAGTTAGCCTCGGGGTGGTCGGAGGTGGTGATGAAGCGTTGCCTGCAAGGAGTAAGATGAAATGGCCTCAGCTCATTCATTATTTCTATCTCCTAGCCGTGGAAGACAGAAAATTGTTCATAGGAATGGTTTCGAAGAAATGTAACGAGAATGACATCCGGGTGATGTTTTCTCCGTTTGGCCAGATAGAAGAATGCCGGATCCTCCGGGGGCCCGACGGGCTGAGCCGAGGTGAGTGTGCTGTCTGCAGCATCTCTGCCCTTCCGCGCTAATTGGAGCCCCGCGTCCCAGCCAAGGTAGACGCAGCCCCGCGCGTGGCCGGAGGTCGCCCCGAGACATGCCCCACAGGACGAACTTAGCCAGCCTGAACTTTTCACCGTGGCGGGAGTGATCACCTCTTATTTCTCGAGTCGAGAAGGTCCTGGTGCCAGCATATTAGCTCAGGTTATGACTGTCAGACCGGAGGCCTACAGGCTGCCCTGTCATCACACATCGCTTTTCAGTCTCAGATTAGAGGAGATTGGGGATGGGTGGGGGAGAGACTTGGTGGGCAAGAGAGAATGTGTGCCGCTTGCATCTTAGTTTTCTGACTTTCTGCCTGTTCCTGGAAGAGGTGTTGAGGGCTTGGGCCTCTTAACAGAGAAATAAACCAAGGAAAAAAAAATGCCCTGCATAGCATAGAGCAGATACAGACTCAGAGTAACCCAGCCTGTGTTAGGGTTTTAGAGCAAAGAGCAAACCTCCTGGAGTCCTAAACATAGGGAGTCCATTAAGCAACAGAGAAATGATTTCATCCAGCAGATTGCAGGTTCTTCTTTGTCACCAGGATAGAGGCAAAGGCTGGGCTTTCCAGCACTGATGAAAACCAGCATTTTCGCCACAGCGATGCAAGGTGGTTGGAGATGACTGTTCTGTTTCCACACTTACCTCCCCCTTTGACAAGGCCATACACCTCCTTCCTTAAACCACTCATAAGGCTTATCACCAGGTCCCCAGTAATCTAAGTTCCCTGAGTCAGCTCAGTGAGGCCCAGGGGAAGCTGTACGTGTAAAACACATTTGTCCATTCTCATAAGAAAGCTGTTTTGGCAACACAGAGAGGATTTCATTCAATTAATGAAGTTTCCAAGGCAAGTTCCACAGGGATAATTAGAAATGTCTCTCGGTTCCCCATCTCTGGTTCTAGGACTACACTGCCTGCCCCTGTGCTGAACCCCATGTTGAAAGAAAAGTTTGGGCCTTAAGTATCAAGGCACTAGTGTTCACTCATCTCCCTAGTCTTACCTAAACTCTGCACCCTGGGAGGAAGAACATGTGTTCCTTTGACTTTTAGACATAAAACTTCCCGATGTCAGTTGCTGAATGGCACAGGGAACAAAAGCTTTCCACCTGCCTCCACCTCCAGAGCCCCAAAACAAAGAGAGTGTCAAGGAAAACCAGGCGAGGAGGAGGAATAACTCCAAGCTTGTGATCCCTACATTTCCTTCTGAAGGTGGCTTTAAAAGCAAGAGAGAGAGAGGAGGCGGCGGCCTGGAAATGATGCTTAACACTCCCTGAAAAGATGGGCGTGTAAAAGCTGAGCAAGACATCATGTCAAGTGGGGTCCCTGTGTAGCAGACCCAGTGCCTTGAGCTAGTCTGGCACTTAGCACATGTGCCTCCACCAGCGTCACCCCAGCTGACTCCTTGTGCTGGGGACCCTGACGGCCTCGCAAGCAGAAGGCTGCCAGAGTTTGCGTCCTGGATCCCTCTGCAGCACCCGAGCAGCCCCACGCCAGGAGAGAGGGCCATCACATCAGATCACCCAGTCCTGCTGCAGCCAGGAGAGGCAGATAGGCACACAGTCCAGGAGAGTGAATGCCTGGGGGAAGTACGGCATGGCTGAATTAAATAGGCGAGAAAGACGAGAGTATTTTCGTGAACCTTTCCTGCTGCCAGTTCAGTCCTAAGAACCACCATTCTCCCCCATTGCAATTCTCAGTCACGTTTCCGTGTTGCCTTTGCATTTTTCATTTGCTCAGGCGTACAGCATGGACAAGGAACAGACAGTCATAGTGAACCGTATAGTGCCTTGGAGGCCGATAACCCTGGGGCCCAGACCTAGAACTTCTCCAGAGTAACTCATGGGGCGCTGTCCACTCCTTTTCCTGTCTCTGTCCTCAGTTTCCCCCATGAAGATGGCAGCAGTCAAAAATATGTGCCCTTCTCCTCTAATAGGGCGTGGTTAGCTTCTGCATTTTTATTATCTTCTTTTTTTTTTTTTTTTTGGTGGCACTGCAGCTTGCAGGATCTTAGTTCCCCGATCAGGAATCAAACCCGGTCCCTTGGCAGTGAAAGCGCAGGGTCCTAACTACTGGATGACCAGGGAATGCTTCTACGTTTTTGTAGAAATAGACCATTCATAGGGTGTCATGGAGGCCTTGACTATGAAGTAGGCGTGCTGGACTCCTGTTCTCCCTCCACTGATTTACAGACTTGAGTCTCTGACTCAGTTTCTCCACCTCTCCAGTGGGGGCAGTGATGGGAACAGCACTGGTGTCTAGAGATCCTCAAGCATATGTTAGATACTTCTGCAGTTGAGATTGTAAAGCAGCCAAAACTTTCATAGAAAAGAGCTTCAAGACACTGTACTTGATGAGAAAAATTGGCCAGTTCAACCTGCCATTCAGTTGACGAACCAGCACTTGACACCAGAAGCAGCCTATTTCTGAAACAAGTTACACTTTCTTCAGTATTTTATGCAAACACTGGTTTAATGTAAAGAGTAGAATCCTCTTCCTTGCCCCCCCCCCTTTTTCCAACAGAAAAGTAATTTCTGAATTTCTAGCAAACTGATGAGAATCCCCTATGGCAAAAAGAAAATACTCATTTATAGTCATTTGTTCTGAAATATAAAGACAGACCATGGTGCATTTTTCAATTAGCCGTATCCAGGGACTCCTGGGTACTGGGGACTGCTCCTGAATCAGTGTATTTGTTGAAAGAACAATTCTCTTTCATGCTACTATTTTGCTTTCATTAAAGAATTGCAGTTTTCAATCAAATATTAATAAGTATCTCCCATCAGTGGCACTCCCAAGCAGGAACACTCAGCATTTCTGGTCTCCATGCCTGTTGCTGGCTCAGCTGTTTACAGAATAAATAAAAATGAAGTGAAATGAGAGATTGGCTGCTCTGAAAAGCACCTTTTAATACTAGACCAGGGTATAAACTAGTCAGTAGGAAAGGATTTAAATCAAACCACATGATTATGATAGGGGAGAGATGCCCTTGAGTTGTACACACTTCCAGCTGGTAGCCCTGGGTCTCTAACAGGCATCTAATGTCTTTCCTTCTCTGCCATGTCAGTAGTTGACATTCCTACCTGGCAGGTTTACACTGCGGTTCCTCTAAGCTTGTTGATTCAGTACCCCTGCCCTAAATGAGAGTAGCTGCCAGAACTCACACTTATCAAGTCCTACTATACTTTCAGTTAGAATCACTATTTTTAAAAAAAAATCATGATCTCCATATAGGCAAGAAAGACTGTTTTAGAAGCCCCGTAGTTATTCACCAGCACCCAGATCTGTGCCGTGTTTTAAGACAGGACCGCCTATCCTGCCCTCACCCCCAGGGAAACTGTCATGTCTATACATAGACAGCACCTGCCAGGCCTGTTGAAACGACTCAACAGACATCAGGACTCTGCCCACTTTACTCCATATGCCCACACCTAAACATGCATCTTCTCCTTTGGGGGCAGTAACCCATTCTGCCATTTTGGAAAACCTGGTTTGAAATGCTTTTCAGCCCCTCGTGAGATTCAGATCTTTCTGCAATGGCAGACCTGCCTCTCAGGCCCCCACATGAGCCTTCACTGAGAGGCAGGCCGGATTCCACGAGCCCACCCGTGGCAGGTAAAACAAGACGTATGCTCTTAGGAGCAAAGCCTCAGACTCCTACACCAACACATCTACTGGACAATGAGACCTGAGCATGTCCGTTTCCTAAAATACACACGTTCTCACCCACAATCCCACGGTCAGATTGAATGACTTGGGTATGGTCTGCCAGGTTTGCTACACCGTGGCAACACGATATCTGTAACTCAGAGACAATGAAGGGGTTGATTCGTTCTTCTTTCCCATGAACTGCAGTCAGATCTTCACTGCCATTTAAGGTAACTTTCTGCTTGTTTAAGAATATTCCAGCTGTGTTTATGATGTTCCAACATGCTCCTGCCAAAACCCTTGACAAAGGAATTGGCCATATTTTCAGGGATGTTGGTGAGCACAATCTGGATGTAGCCATTATATCCTCATTTGTTTTCATTGTATCTCATCTGAAATATGGGGGTGGGCTCTTGACTTTTAAAACATGTGCAGGGAGAGGACTGAGTTTTGATCGTGACATTTTAGTCATGTCCACGTGGTGCCCAAACGCTCAGATATATGGGAACCTGTGCCAGAGGCCTCCTGGGTTATTAGCTGCATCTTGTCATCCTCCCCAGGTGGCTCAGTGGTAAAGAATCCACCTGCCAATGCAGGAGACACAAGAGATGCGGGTTCGACCCCTGCGTCAGGAAGATCTGCTGGAGTAGGAAATGGCAACCCACTCCAGTATTCTTGCCTAGAAAATTCCATGGACAGAGGAGCCTAGCAGGTCCAGTCCACAGGGTCGCAGAGTCAGACGTGACTGAGTGACATCCTGCTCTGGGTACTCTTCCAGTCTCATCTCAGGAGTGAGATTTTGCCAACTCTGAAGTCCTAGCCTTCCCTCAACCTCGGGAGCCTTGAATGAACAATCTCTCCATGCCAGTTTTAAATAAACGAACCTGACCTTGGGGGTTGTGCATCATCGTATTAATTCTGATGCTCCAGAGTTTTACTCATGGAATAGTTTAAATCCTGCTTATAAGATACAGAGAAGAAAACTGGCTGCACTAAGATCTTCCTACAGCTGAAGAGGAATTTATAAACAGGTTTTCCATAAGCTGACATCTTCTCGTGCCACACAAGTTATCTTAAATTATGCTTCCTTCAGTTGAAATAAAGTGGCTATTGCCGCTCTTTCAAAGAAGCAGCAGAAAACAAGAGGCCTTGGCATCATTGTATGTGCTTTTAAAAGTGCCAGTGCCTCTGCTTTTTTCCTTCCTTTCTTCTCTCTCACTGTCTTTTTGGTGCACAGCAAGAATTCTTCTAGTTCTCTCAAAATTCCCTCGCACCCTAGAGAAAAGGTAGAACACCTTAGTTAAGATATCCTTTCAATCGAAATGACAAGTATAATAGATGGATACCAAAATCTGCTCGGTGACAGGGCTCTGTGCTTTCCTTAGATCCTGTCTGTAGGAGGAAATTACTTTGAGAAACCTTTCTCCAGTCAATCATTTATCTATTCCAACGGCAGGAAGACAACCTCACCGTAATAAGAGAAATTCAACTCCTTTCATTTCTATTAGCAATCTCTGACACTCTGAAAGTGGAGACGATAAATAGTGGCAAGCTAAATTACTGGTTGGTTACATTTACAGATGGAATGTTTGCCTTTTTTTTTTTTGCTATTATGTATTTGGAAGCTTTAAGATACATAGACTGTCTTACCCGCCCTACCACTACCACCAAAAGTAGCCTCATTATCTTGGTAGCTGTATTTTTTTCCCCCAAATCTAAGTTCTCCTGCATTTTGCCAGCATGTATGACAGCCTAGAACAGTTGAGGGCTGACCCTATAAGATCAGAGCACTTGTCCTGCTGAGACCCAGTGGACTGCAGTGTACCCAGAAGCTCACTTGTAGAAAGCAAAGGGGAACAGTGGACCCAAGACATTTCTGTCCAATGGAAAGTCATCTGATTGGGTTGTGGAAGAAGGCACCAGCCCATTTTGACCATAGGGACTCGAGTGACCCTATGTTAGTGAAAAGCCACAGATTTGAGGGCTCACTCCAAAGCCAGTGTTTTCAGTGGTGCTGAAAATGAAATGAACCTAGTCGTAGGACTCCCCATGCCCTCCTGTTTTAGAGACGTCGCAAAGGTTAACAAGCTACCAGCCCATGGAACATCTGGTTCTGAAGTTGCTTGACTTTATCCAGAGTGGCAGACAGACACATGCTCCCCCTTTCTAAATGACACAGTCGTTTTTCTCCCTTAAGTAACTGAACACAGCACAGAGCATGGAACTTGACAGAGCCCCTAGGAGACAGGTTTTCTCTCACTGCACTGCTGCCGACAGAATTAAAAGGTTAAAGAAGTCATCAGATTTGTCAGATCATTTTTTGGGAGGGGATGAGGACTGTATAATTAGAAGCATCAGTCAAGCTTTTAATTGCAGGTTTCATAGAGCAAAGGGCAATGAGTGGTTTGAGTTTATAGAGAGATCACTTCATTGTTCTCTTGCTAGACTTTTCTTTTGAGACCTGTTAATTGCTAGATCTTTCTCCTGAAGTTAACAAAAGTTCTGCTTGCTCTGAAATTGTAGCAAATGCATATACTGTGCCTTATTGATTTTTGTTGACATTTTACATGTTTTTTTATGCATCCTGAATCTCTGCTTGGACACTCAGTTTGGCACATGCCCCCAAATAATAAGAGTAAAGTGAATGAAACAGAGTTAGCCCATGGTTTCAGATCTGCGTCCATTAGATGATTTCCTGTGCCTCTCCTGCAGTCTCCAGATAAGAAATAAGAAAGAAAAATTTCCCGGTCTTATTTCCCCTGTTAACAGTGTCAGTGATAATCACAGTCTTCAAGAGATATTACTTTGAAACGGATGGTAAATTTGGGACTCTCTCATCTCGGAGCAGAGTACATTTCAGTATGGAGTCAGCAGAGGTCCTGTTGTAGGTCTCTCGCGGCGTTACACACATCATCTCATCTAGATGCCTTAGAGGAGGCCGCCCAGCTGCTCTGTTGATGACAGAAACCAGAGCCAGTATAGATATAGGCACCATGCTCAAACAGCTTCACCAGCTGCTGTAACATCGGAAAAACTAAGAAATAGCTTGGCATTCTTAGTGAGCTAGACTGCAGGCTTCATCAGGACAGCTTAACATAGAGGTGAATGAGATGAACCTCCCATGTACTGAGAGTTTTTGTGTATTAAGACTTACAGCATGATGCAAAAAAAAAAAAAAATGCATTGACTTTTTTTCATGACTGGATGTTGTTGTGCTTTGGGGGTGTGGGCAGGCATTGCTTTCTCTTATTGCTGTTTGATGAAAAAGTGCTAATACAGTATTGACTTGATAATCTCCCCAGGTACACATGCAGAGCGAACAGAGAAAATGTACTCGATGGCCCCCACAGTGACTCCCATGAACCAAGCCACGTGCTGGTTGTTTAGATGTGGAGTTTTCTGCTTGGCTTCCTGGCCGTAGAGGCACCCGTCTCACGTGATGGGTGCCAGAATTCCACATCTATGCACTCACTCTGAGATGACAAGCTTTGGCCCCTCAGTGTTTAGATCTGCTTCATTTGGAAATCTTTTTAAGTAGCAATAATAATAATGTTTTGAGGCAATTGAGTGGAACACTAAATTATTCTCTGATACCTAAGTTCAAACTGTGCAAGGCTAAAGAAGCTGAAAATCAATGCACTTTTAAAGTCATTAGAGATCATAAGTGAAATAGTCTGCATTGCTTTAGCTAAGCTTTTAGTGTGCCATGGTATTATTATAAAATCAGCCTGAATCTGCATTAATTTCACAGTCTTCTTCTCTGAGAAGCCCAAGGGTGCATGATAAATAAAATGTAAATTTTAGAAGGCAGTGTTTTTATTAGTGGAAAGGGCAGTGAGCCATGTAGTTGGAGCGGTGACCTGCATGGTAGCTGACACTGCTACAAGGAGTCCTATGGATGCTAGTTATTTTACAGCTGGGGAAAAAAAGTAGCCATGGAGGGTTCAATGGGCCTCAGGGGAGACATTCAGAGAAATGTGCATTGTCTTGTGTATGTTCCACTTGAGGTCCAGTCTCTGATAGAAACCACAAGTCGCAACTTTCAGAAGTCATGGAGATTTGCTGCAAATAACAAATCCAATGCAACTGTTTACATTTTACTTTATATGCACTGTTGAATATTCCCAGAGTAATGGCGCATTTGTTAATAGGGGGTTTGTTTTTGTTCATCATTAACAGTTACTAAGTAGTTTGTACAGGATTTGAGTATATTTATTTGCATTTACGTAACATGAATGTGTATACATATATCTAATTTTTAAACCACCCAGAAAAGATGAGGTATATTTATTTGCTGACATTTCAAGCTATTGAAATCTCTTTGCTAATTTGCCCTGGGTGTGAGGATTTTATTATTGGCTGCCTAAAAAGCAAGACTCCCATTTGAAATATAGAACCAGAATGGGTGGATGCCCTCAGTCATGATAGTCAGCCAAGGAGAAAATGTGAAATTGCAACTCTTTATTTTAGAAAATGCAAACTAGGTCTTGTGCATTTCAAACCTGTGGCTAAAAAAAAAACTTTAAAATTAAAAAAAAAAAAAAAGAGTACCCAGCCTCCTTTCCCTGGACTCCAGTCTAAAAATAAATAAACTAATCCATCAGTAAATCTCTCTGCTTTGGTCAGATTAGCAAGTCAGCACTGTAAGTAAAAAAGCAACATGAGATTGAAACCAGAGAGAGAAGTTGTTGATTTCATGTACTACTGAGAACAGTGTCGTCCTGTGGCAGTTCTCGTAGACTGTGTTGGTTTAACAAGCGTCCAAACCTTTTGTCTTGTTGTTTTTGTCTTTCCTGCTCCCTGTCCCCTTGTTTCCCACAGGCTGTGCGTTTGTCACGTTTTCTACAAGGGCAATGGCACAGAATGCAATCAAAGCCATGCATCAGTCTCAGACCATGGAGGTACTGTATCATCTGCCCTTTCTTTGTTCCTTCGTGCAAGTGGTGGGGATGCAAAGCGATTCTCTCCTGTGTGGATCGTTCACATGGCAATCACAGATGTAAACCTTCACCATCCTTCTCTCCATCCATCCATACTCCTCCTCCCTTAACCTCTCTCCCCCCGCCCCACTTTCTTCGCCCTCCCGCGCTCTCTCCTCTCTGAATTTTTCCCCTAATGACTGGAAACGCACCTAGTAAAACCTTCCCCTTGCTCGGCATTCTTTTCTGAGCCTTTTGTTGCAGTGGCCCAGGTCCTGCCGTGTAAAGTTCACGATGCCATTTAACCCGGGCATCTTTGTGCACCTCAAGGACCAAGTACATGCCCCAGCCCCCAGGGTGGGATGGGTTGAACGGCTAACAGCCCCCATTCCAAATTGCAGTGGGCCCCGTGCTCAGTCACAGGGCTCTTTCATTTCTTTTTTGTCTTCTTTTTAAATGTGAGGTCAAGTGACCTTCAATCAAGACAAACAGAATTGTTTTTGCATCAACAGTGTCGGAGAAAGTTAAGACTTCTCCGACAAGGTGGAACCAGCGCAAATGTTCATGTATGAGAACATGCTGAAAATTAGAACATGCCCACTGCCGAAAATTAGATTTGCCCCCTTACTAAAAAAAAAAAAAAAAACACAATAACCAAGAAACTCGAAGGCTCCAATGTGGTCTCCTAACGAGAGACACAGTGGCTTTGGGGGAAGAGAAATAGGCTGGCATGGGCCCAGAAATGTAGACAACGGCTCTGTCCTTTGAGTCTGTGATTTGGGTCATGGCCTTTCAGGATTTTGCACAAAAGCATTCCAAGAGTGATATGCGGTTCCTTACTCTGTATTGTCTGATAGAATCCTTTGGGAGTGCATGTTCTGCTGTATCATGTAAACTGTATCTTTGTGTATGGGTGATCTTTTCTGGAGGTGGCTTTGTACTATTACCTCAAGTTATGTTTTTCATCTTTTGAAAGAAAAAACGATTTTTTTTTTCAGTTTTATTTAATGTGCCAAAATTTCTCTATTGTTTGAGCTGCTTTTTTGCCTCCACTTTTGCGGGGGGTTTTAATTTTTTTGTTGTTTGGATTTTCTGTTTGGTTTTTTTTTTTTGGCCATGCTGCATCTCCCGAAGCATGCCGGGAGCTCAGTGATCTTTCTGGGTCTTGCTCTGCGGGCAGACTTTCTAGGGAGCCGCAGGGTGGGTGGACGTGTGGGGACGAGAGTGTGCATGGCCTTGTCAGTCAATGTTTACTGTACTTTTCTGAGTTTTGACAGCATTGCAAAGCCTGTTGTCTTTTTCAGACTTCCTTTTGACCTCAGTATTCCTAACATACCTTATATAATCACTGTGTTTTCCTTTCAGTGCAATGCATTTTTAAGGCACTCACACCCCCCCCACTACGTGAAGGCAAGCTCAGGTGAAAGTCGGCCACAATAAGAGAGAATTAGCGGGATTTGAAATATCTTAGGAATCCAGTCTCGAACAACATGCAGTTACACATGTGATCATGTGTGTGTTCCCCTCCCACCCTCGTCCCCCGCCCTTTCTCTTAACCTTGGACGGCTCCACTGTGGTGGATCGACCTGGTTTCCAGCTGCAGATCAGCCTGGAAATGAAAGTGAAAGGACTATTAAGAAAAAGAAAGTCTTGATATACATGTGTGTTTCACTCTTAAATATTTTTATTTCCGGTGATGGAGTGATCTGTACCTGATGGCCTCACCTTAGATTATTTTTTTCACCCCAGCTATTTCAGCCCTGTTGGAAACATTGGCACCCCAGTACCCTCACCCAGGGCCCCCCACCCGAATGGGAGGGTTGTGTTCTCTACGTCCCTACAAACGGAGAGCACGAGAAAATACAACAGAGCTGGGTATGAGCCCAAACCAAGAAAATAACAGGCTCTCAGAAGGAAAAGAATTTGCTATAGAGAATGGGGCGTATTTCTTCTTCAGAGGTCATTGATCCTTTGTTAATATCGCTCTTATCAGAAATCAGATCTGACGCACTTGTTTTTAAATATGGACATCCATGCTTAATCAGAGGGGCCCTTAGACACTTAAATTTCTTGTTTAATTCAAAAATATTGACATTTAAATGGAAGATTATTATGCAGTCTCATTAGAGTTGTATAACTGAAGTTTGTTTTCTTTTCTTTTTTAATTAATCACATTATTTTTAGGACTCTGGCTTACATCTTCAACCAAGATGTATGATCTAAGAGATACGAATTCAAAATGATGTGACTGTTAAAGTTTAAATGAACACGTTCTTTAAAGAAGTCATTAATTTTACATGGTACCTTGATTTTTCCCACCTCCCTCCAATCTCTGCCTACCCTGTTTTTTCCCCTTCATAGTTTATACAAGTCATTTTTTGAGCTATAATCATGGGCCTGATTTTCTGCTTTTGTATCATTTTCTGGTATTTAAGGAAGGAAAAAAGTCAACCATAAGTGAACTGTTAGGAGGAGATGCTATAGTTTGTTCCAGAATGAATTTGATAGAATAACAATCCTTGACATGCAAAACCCTTGCTGTCTGTAATTTCCATCTTCAGAGTGGTTTTGCTCTCTTTAAAATGATGAAGCACTAAAATACAGAGCAGACAAAAATGAAGTATAGATTTTTTTTTAATGGTGGAAATGTTACTTTTATGCAGTTTATTGACTGTTAACATCCTAGGTTGTGACTGTGACCCCCAGAGCTGAAGATCAATCCACTGGAGGTCCAACAGCCAGTCACCCCACTTTTCCCACATTTTGGAGGTTAACAAATAGGCATGATTGCCTCATCTGTGCATAGCACCATCCCCAGGAACTACCCAAGGTGACAAGAAAAAAAAAAATGCAACTTTGTTTTCTAAGAGAAAGAAAAATGAACCCAAAGGGAAGGGGAAAGCTCAGTTAAATAGAAATATTAAATTTCTGACAGAAGAGAGAGGTCTGTTATCATGCTGAGTTTCAATAAAAGTGTGTTTTTTTTTTTTAATCACTTGGGTAGAATTAACTTCTTTTTTCTTAGCAAAATTTCACAGCTTTAATTGTGATGGAATGTGTAGTAAGCTGTTTGAAGAGGGAAACCAATTGGTTTCCACTGAGTGTTTACCAAGTGGCAAATGTTGAAAAGTGCTTTTAAAAGGAAGTCCTCCTGCCTGGGGTGTTAGGCCCTCACTTTCCCTAAGGACCGTCTCCATCTCAAAGATGCTGGTCCTGTTACATAAGCTATGGCCATTTCTCACTCACTACCCCCGATCCTGCCTTTTAAAGGAAGTGGACATGGAAAGAAGCTCCTAGAACAGCAAGATTGATTAGGAAAAGAAGCCAAGTAGAAATCTCCACCTCCCGTTTGACATATCTCCCTGGACTAGAACACGGTCCTGATGTTTCATTTTTGATTTGCAGTAGCCTGGGATTAGTGATAGTTTAGATGTGATAGAGAAGGAGGAGGCTTTTCTAAAAATATGGGGACAGTGACATGGGTTCATGCCTGCGTTCCCTGAATATCTCCTTCCTTCATCCAAGTTCCTAAAAACGAAACCCACTTCTAGCGATTATATTACCGGGTTGATGTAATTCCCACCATTCTGAAGTTAAAAAATGCTTAACTGAGCACTGGAAAGAGTTAAAAAAAAAAAGACGTGAATGACAGGCACTCTCACTCCCACTCTGTCTCCCCGCTCTGTGCCCTGGTCACACATAGCGCCAGACAGAGACACCGCGACGAGTCCATCTTTCAGACGAACGAACCGTGAAGCTTGATTAAGGGCCAGTGATGAGGTCTCTTGTCCTTGAGGAGGTCCTGGGATGGTGGAAGGAAGACCCCTGAAGAGAGAAGGCGAGGCACTGTCATAAGCAGATCACGAGAGCAAAATGGCTTCTTCCAGCACCAGAGCCCCACAGACCCCAGTGACAGACCCCGGAGTGTTCTGTTGATGGTGCTGTGCAGAGAAGACGAAGGACCATCACTGCACTTACACACCCACCCAGCCCGTCCCCTCTGCTGCACAGTCGTTCAGAAAGCTAGGCCCCACGCTGACTGCGTGTCCCGAGCCCAGTGGACCAGGCTGTAACCCGCTCTTCACTTTCCGCTGTGTCTGACCACAGGGCTGCTCTTCACCGATCGTGGTGAAGTTCGCGGACACCCAGAAGGACAAGGAGCAAAGGCGCCTCCAGCAGCAGCTGGCGCAGCAGATGCAGCAGCTCAACACTGCCACCTGGGGGAACCTGACGGGTCTGGGCGGCCTCACCCCGCAGTACCTGGCGGTGAGTTCCGGGGGGTGGGGGTGGGGGGCGTGCGGTCCCCAGGGAGAGAGCGCCCTGCCCCTGGAGCTCCTCCAGGCTCCTTGTTCCCTCAGCACACCAAAAGCTCAGCCTCGGGATGCTGTGAGTGCCAGGAACTTCTTGGCATTGATGCAGAGTTTTTCCAGGTGAAATTGATGAGCACAAGGATGGACTGTTCTGTCTAGTTCGATGGAGGCCGAGCTGAGCTCCACAAGGCTGGGTGTTAACCAGTGTTCCAGCATCAGCTCCTGCATCAGGAGGGATGCGGCACGCTTCCCACACCGTGATTTAAGGTCCCCAGGCAGCCGTGGCCAGCCCGCTCTCTATGCCCAGGGCAGGGTGTTCCTCGCAGGACGTAGGAGGGAGGCCTCGTGGAACCCTCCTTCACTGGGTCTTCCCAGAGGAGGGATGTTGATTCAGTTCAAATGTTTCTTTATCTGTTGGAAACCCGAAACTCAGATCCTGTTTCAGGACAAATAGACCCTGTTCTTTTTAACCATCCCTTACAGTTCATTGTTTCTAAACTTTCACCTCCTTTTTTTTCTCCCCCTTTCTGTTTTTGTTTTTTTTTTTTTCCCCATTTCACTTTGCCGCTGTCTTTATTAAAATGCCAGAGTCAAAATGTAAAACCATTCCCCTGGTAAGATCTAAACAGCATGAGAAGCAAGCCCTAGTGTGAACTTCAAAGCATCTACACGTACTTAAGAGTGGTGGAAGGCAGCTCATACTCCTCTGATAAGTTTTGCTTATTTTTACTTGAACTAGTGCCGAACCATGCTTCTCTACTCCACTTTTCTGCCGGACTACACATTAATTAATTTTATATTGTGCATTTGGGCCTTTAATTCTAGCCTCTGTCTGGGTATGTGTGTCCCAATTCTGTCCTGACCTTTGAACTGTTGCCCTCAGGATAGTAGGACCCATGAGCTGTACTTTGCAGCAGAACCAACACTGTTCTACAAAACAGCCCTCCCTGTAACCTTGAAAGGTGATCCCCCTGCTTCTGCAGGTGAGGGAAAGGAGCGACTTAAAGAGGTTTTGTTACTTCACCCAAGGTCGTGGCGCTGGTAGTCAGGCAGGATTTCCACCCTCCATGTGCTCTCTCCATCCAGCCTGGCTGCTTCTCCAAGGAGATGTGACTCACGTTCCCGTTTTATGTTAATATTTAATTGTTTGGCCGCGTCGGGTCTCAATCGAGGTTGGTGGGATCTTCATTGTCCTCACGCAGTACTTTTCATCACAGTGCACAGGCTTCCAAGTTGCGATGCACGGGCTTAGTTGCCCCATGCAGGTGGGATTGTAGTTTCCAGATCAGGGATCACACCCGAATCTCCTGCATTGCAAGGCGGACTCTCAACCACTGGACCACCAGGGAAGTCAATGGTAGTCCTCCTTTACCCACCCTCACGCCTGTCGGGGTCTGACGAGCCGTAGCTACTCGTGACATGTCTGCATGTCTTTCAGGAGAAGCATGCCTCTCCTGCCTTCCCCTGAGTCATTGATAGAAGCAGGTAACCAAGTTTGCTGTCACCTTCTAGCTATTTTTCCATCTTATCCACAAGGACCCAGTGTGAAATTTCCTCATGTCTTACTAAAATAAAATATAAAATAAATTATCTATAATTTATATAGTTATATATCAATTATAAATTTATATATTTTATATAATATATTAAATATGAAATAAAATATAAAAAATTTTTCTTGCTGAAATAAAAAATAAAAACTAAGATTTCTATCATAGATTGGTGGCGAGCTCACCTTTTCAGAGTTTCCAAGGATCCAGCTTCGTGTTCCACTGTTTCAAGGAACCAGGACCCCTGTGCCTGTACCAGTCTTCTGGCCCCACCCCCAGCACCTGTTTCTTTGTGTTGAGGGTAGATTCTGACTCTGGCTCACCAGAGTGTGGTTGTCAGTGGAAAGAATCCTCAGGTTAATGACCCACCAGGTATTGCACCTTCCTCCAGCAGAAATTATTAATCCCTCAAAGTGTCTTCAAAGTGAATTTAATTTGACTAAGCTTCAATTTTTAAAAAATTGTGCAGAGCTCCATTCTCTTACCACCACAGGAGAATGGGAAACCCGAGAAATCAAACCAAGAGAAGGGATTTCTCTCGGTCAAAACGGATCATCCCTGGCTCCCTCCACTTCCTCACTCTGCGTGTGCGAGTCTGTGTATGTCTGTGTATAATACCTAGATGGTCTGTTACACCAAATCCAGAAGGATGAGTGAAGGGTGTAGACCTTTCTCTGATAACTCTTCACATTAATCCCCATACTATCGTTGCAACTAGGACTTGGGTAGAATCAAGTCAGCTGCCGGATGCGGGTCTGTGAGTCCCACACCGTTGTGGAGCCTCCTCCTCCTAGAGCTGAGGAGACCGACGCTTACCTGCAGGAGCGGCAGCACTCTCCATTAGTTTGTGCAGAGCTCCAGCTGAATGATGAGAGCCTATTTTGTGAATAGTGAATTCTTCTGGTTCCTCCTCAGCTCACAGAACCGTGGCAGTTTTTTAATAATAGATGTGGTGAATCTATGCTCTTGACATCCATGGACTTCTGAGTATAGGAGACAGCTCCACACTCGCTCCAGGGTACAGACTGTGGCTGTACTGATCTACCAGAAGGAGGCTATCAGTAAGTCTAGTCACACACTTAGGACAGCACCTAAGTGAAAGTCGCTCAGTCGTGTCTGACTCTTTGCGACCCCATGGACTGTAGCCTGCCAGGCTCCTCTGTTCATGGGATTCTCCAGGCAAGAATACTGGAGTGGGTTGATATTTCCTTCTCCAGGGGATCTTCCCAACCCAGGGATCAAATTTGGTTTTCTCCCGCATTGCAGTCAGGTCTTTAACCCTCCGAGCCACCAGGGGAACCCTAAGTTAACCTGTTATTCAGCTTATTTGAACAAATAAAGGAGTGCTTCCAAATGGTAATCACATGCCTTACCTTGTGCTGCCCACTGCTTCTCTGTGTGGGATAAACATACTTCTGGAAGCTCCAGAGACAAAATGCACAGACCTTTTCACAGCTGTCTTCATTTCTCTTTAGAAGATGCTGATATATTTATAATAATAGCATCAATGTATATAGCACCAGATAGTTCTAAGTTTTGACAAATAGTGTGTTCCTCTGTGCCCACAAAGACCACCTTGAAATAGTTGACCGTTGTCTTTATCCTATAGTTATGACTGCAGCTGTGGAGCTGTGAATAGACACATTTATCTCTGTAGGTATCTCAGCGGCTTCTCTGTTAGTCCAGGAGTCAGCGAATCTGTGCGTTCCTAATGAAGGTTGTAGGACAGGCAGCTGTGATGGGAAGCGGAGGAGAGCCAGGGTGGGACCCTGGTTGACAGAGATGAGTTACGAGAACTACTAAGCTCCAGAGAGAGAGCATTAGTCACGCCATGTTGGTTTCCATAGATTTAACACCTGGTTGTTAAAAATTGTAAATTGATGAATTGTTTAAGGCAGTGACGTTATTGAGTCTCCCCGGTGTCTGTGTTTCTTAATAGAGATTAGACATTAATGTGGATTTATGGCTCCAACGCTGGGAACCTTTAGCCATTAAGAGGCAGCAGTAGCTGACTATGTGAATGTAAAGGGAACTGGATGTGCCCCTGTGGACGTGGGAAGTTCCTTTGTCCTCAACTGCATTTCTTTTTGACAGCGCATTTCTCTGTTTTTGGTGTTTTTGTTTTTTTTTTTTTTTTCAGCTTCTGCAGCAGGCCACCTCCTCCAGCAACCTGGGTGCATTCAGTGGCATTCAGCAGATGGCGGGTAAGTCATGAGGCCTGCCTGGCCTTTGGACCGTGCTGTTGTCTAAATTTAGGATGGGTTCAGAGGGCGAAGAAGACAGTAGGGGAAAGAACCACAAACCTGTCCTGTTGGCTTAGGTGTTAAACATTAGAGTAAGCTGCTCAGAAGTTGCTTTTCTATCTCTGGCATCTCCCGTTATATAACAGGAAAATTGGGGGCTGATAATTCCTGCACAGTACCCTCCAGAAAGTGGAAAGTGTTAGTTGCTCAGTTGCGTCTGTTTGCGAGACCATGGACTGTAGCCCCCCAGGCACCTCTGTCCATGGGGTTCTCCAGGCAAGAATACTGGAGTGGGTTGCCATTTCCTCCTCCAGGGGATCTTCCCAACCCAGGGATCGAACCCAGGTCTCCCGCATTGCAGGCAGATTCTTTTACCCTCCAGAGTTGTGTTTATTTTTTTTTTTTTATGGATTTGAATGCTGGGAGGTGGGGAGGGGGGAGGGGGGCAGATTTCCAGCAAGAGTCATGTATCCAGCGCAGCCACCATGATTGACATCCCTCTAAAATTTTAATAACGGGCAGTCAATAAAAATGTTTTGTCCTCCATAATGAAAGCCAGGCTTGCAGACCTATCTGTGACTGATACCATTTCAGTCCCTTGATAACCACAATTAACAGGGGTGCCTTTTTTTTTTTTTTATTTAAAAGAATCCCAGTTGACAGAATTGTGCATCAGAAACTTTTATGGGAAAGTGGAAATCTTCATTGTCGGGGAAAAAAAAAATCACAGTGGGACTGAATGTGAAAGTCAGCCCATGAAGGGTTCCTTTTGATAATGAGCTGTGTTGGTAGTGACCTAGGGGCAGTGATTAGTGAAAGGTGGGTCGCGCTGAGTCACCTTCCAGGTTGATACCCTGACCCACGCAGTGAATCAGGACATAGGGGCCAGTAACCTGCCACGAGGAACAGCCAGGAAGCTTCCTCCTCAGTTCCAAAAACGTCCAGGAGAGTGGGCTCGGAGAGCAGATTGTTGGCATATTAGAGGCAAGCACAGTTTGCTTCCATCAGTGACACCCTGAGTCAATGAGGTGAACCCAGGATATGCAAAGACTAAACCTGATTTATCTGTCACTGTGAAAACTCCTTTTTGCTCTTTTTCTCCTGAATACATAGCCTTGTATTGTTATTTTCCTCTCCTTGTTTCACTTTGAATGGATCTGGAGAGACTTGGCGTGAGCACACACAGACCTGTGTCCTGTGGCGGCCAGCCCCGCCTTCCGTGGTGGCCCCCAGGGCTAAACTGTGACCTGTCTGACGGGATGGACTGGCCTGCAGTAAGAGCAATGCTTAGTTACTGGTGGCCCTTGAAATCTGCGGGCACTGCCCACCTATTCTGTCATAATACAGCTTTGGGACTATTAGAAAAAATAGATGTTAAAATAATAAGTAGTGAAATCATTCGGCAGACTGTTAATGAACACAGTTAAGAAAGCTGGCCTCAGAGCTAAGCATCTCCTAGAACGGTTGATTTATTTTTAGTTCTGTGAAGGGGGCTGGAGAGACAGAGCTTAAATATTCAGGGAGTTTTCTATGTTTTTAAAAAAGAGAAAACCTCCGGATTGCACACTCTGAAAGAAATGTCAAGATGCGTCATGTTTTCCAGCAAGGCAGGATTTTTCTTCTAATCAGTCGGAACACCCCGCCCCCAAATTCATAGTTAGAGTCTTCCCTCAGAGGAAGCCTGAGGCTCTCCCATTGCCGTGGTTAAATTATGCAGAGAAGGTCACGGGTCCGAGGCTGCTGCCGGGCGTGTCTTCCCGGGTGGACAGGGCGCCCTGTCAGTCTCCATTAGGCTCTGAACCCACGGCTCAGCAGCTCAGGTCAGGATGTTGTTGGCATCTGTGCACCGCGCATGCATTTATCAATGGAGGGTATCTGGGAGTCACCTTAGAAGGTGTGTGGAGCAGATGGCTAATTTAAAGTCAGTCTGTAAATGTGCTTGGCCTTCCAAAATACCCCTTTCTCAAGCCTTCAGTGTGAAATTCAGTACCAAGGCTGCCCAGGTTGTGCAGTCAAAGGCCGGTTGTCCCGTTTTCTGCCGTCACTTTGAGTAGTGAGGACCGAGGATGGGGTGTCAGAGTTCTTCTGCTTCGCCATTTCTGTAACGAGTGCCCTTCATTCCATGGAAAATCAGGAAGCATTAAGGTATTTTTTTTTTTCAACCAAGTTCTGTGGCCCCAGGCTCTTTCATCATCTCCCAAAAGTAGGGCTTTTCTCACCATCAGTCACCTAAACCCATCCTGGAAAGTGGAGGGGTCATAGGGGTCCCTTCGTGGAAGAAGTTTCCCCCACGCACTGAATTGTGGGAGGGGGCTCCCTCTTCCCCGTTTCCCTAAAACCTTTACTTCCTTCCCCTCCTCCCTCACCTGTGAATTCTCCTGAATCTTCGGCGCTCTGAGAGGGTGTGACCTCCTCTAAGTGGCATTCATGGACTATTTTGGGGCTGCTGACAAGTGAGCACATTTATAAATTGGCAGGTGCAAATTTACATTCTGCATACAGTCCCAATGAAACTTAAGTGAAATGCCTAGTTTTTGAATTAAGAAATTTGACTTTAGCTGGACATCTAAGCCACAAACCGCTCCATAAACTAACGGCAGTATCTTTAAGAATGACTTGTTAAAAAAAAAAAAAGATGAAAAAACAAAAATAGAAGAATGAGTTGTGGAAGGTGTGGGGTCAGCGAGTGGGTCCAGTGTCCTGCATGTGACACTTGAGCGTGATACTGACGTACACGGGGGCAACAACATGAAGAAACCAAGGGCTGTCTCATCCCAGACCCCTCTTGGGGTCGCAGCGCCTGTAAGCGAGTGAGGCTGCGGAGGGGCGAGAGCAGTGCTTAGTCACTTCAGCCGTGTCCAACTCTTTTGCGACCCCATGGACTGTAGCCCGCCAGGCTCCTCTGTCCATGGGATTCTCTAGGCAAGAATACTGGAGTGGGTTGCCATTCCCTTCTCCAGGGGAATCTTCCCGACCCAGGGATCAAACTTGAATCTCTTATGTCTCCTGCATCGGTAGATGGGTTCTTTTTCATGTCCTCCGGGGCCAGAGAGCCGACTTCACGTGGGAGACTCGAGTACTGCAGCTGAGAATACCATCCACAGACAGTGAACATCATCTCAGAAAGCAGTGACACTATATTGTCAACAGCTCTGAAAACAGAATAGTCTGTCCGACAGTAAACTGAGGTGTCTCACCACAGTCTAGAATGTCTCATCTGAATGAGTAAACATTTTCTGGTTGAGGAGAAAATAAAAGAAAGTCAGAAAAGAAAAAAAAAAAAAAACAGAAAAACAAAACAAAAATTAGGTGACATTTCTAGAGTAGTTGCATCGATAAAATCAAATGAGACATCAACTATATACTTCTTTGTTCTAAAAAAAAATTTTTTTTCCTTTCAAATTAAAAGTAACTTCAGAAGTGTTTTATGATTTTATGAAAGGGAACCTTTCCTAAATCTGAAATTTAAAAAGCAGAGAATATAACAGTAAGGCTGAAATCTTTATAAGCTGACTGCTTTTATGTGCATCCTTTTTATTTTTTGTGCATCCTTCAAGTTGATTGATTTTACTTTCCTTCTTATCACTTGTGATGAAAATTTGTCCATTTCCCACTCAAACTGTGGTACTTTTCCCATGAGTTTCTGAAATCTCCATAACTTAGGGTCTGAGTTCAGGCCAAAAGCCTGGATTTTCCCAGAAGAAGAAAGAATAAGGGAAAACCGGTTTTTTGGTCTTTCATTTCTTTATAACAATGATCATCTGAAAAAGGCACCGTGTTAGAAAAATGAGAGTAGTGTTACACCGGTGTTTTTCACAGAGTACCCTGAAATAATCCTGGAGTGCATCCTCACACGTCACAGCACACCAAGGAGAAAACCACCACCTGTTAGCACCTAACAGTCGGAAAAACCGAGGTACGAACAGGACCAGGCAGTGGTGTCACATGCATTAGGGTACCGCACTCCCACATACTGCAGCAGCTTCATGACGCAGGGACTCTTAGCATCCCGTCCTACAGGTGGGGCCACCAAGGATGAGAGAAGTTAATGAACAATTACCCAGAGTCACCAAGGTAAGAACTGGCGGATCCACATTTCAAACTGGCCTGAGCTCCCTGTCGCCACCCCCCCGGCCCCGGCCCGCGGCTGTCACTCTGCACTGCCCGTCCACAAATCGAGGTATGTTATCACTCAGACGAGTGAAGAGACCAGCTCCGAAGCAAATCTGAGCCATCAGTGAATGCACGAGAACCCCAAAACTGCTCCAAGAGAAGCGATCCTGTGTCGGCCGCAGGAAAACCTCCTCTCATTCTGGACAGCATCTCACATTTAGTAGGGGGTGGTTTTCTGCTAGGGGAAGTATTTTTCTAGGGTGGGGGGGCTTGTTAGTAAGAAATCACAGAGGTTATGAATCGGTGGCCAAAGAAGAGGATCTGATGATAGACAAAGGGAAAACTGCTTCACTTGACTTCCGACGTTCAGAAGCGGGTAGTAATTCGCCTTCAGAATCTCTGGCCTGAGTTTCCAAAGTCAGAGGGAAATCATAGCGGGCAAGTGTCTGCCTGAAAGAACCGCGCAGAGACTGCTGTACTGGTCAGAGATCCGGCTCAGAGCGAAGACGGGCTCAGCGTGTCTGTGACGAGCAGAGAAGAGGGAAGACTTTGGCCAAAATTGGACCTTGTGTAGGGAACACACTTGGGAGGTCTGCAGAGTGGACCCACAAAGGCCCCAGGTTCTCCCCAGAGCCCAGCCTCCCCTCCTCCACACCCCGCACTCCGTGCTAATAGTCCTTAGGAGAATGCGCCATAACCACCCATCTGTCACTTTTCTAACAGACCTGATTGGCAAGCGCTGGTAACAACTGACATCTGTTCTCGCTTATTGAAATGCAGATTTATGGTAATTGCTCTGAACAATAAGACACAGAATTACCTAAGGTGAACATTCAATTAAATTTTCATGCCCTTCTCCTTATAATTTTTTTTAAAAAACCTTCAGTTTCAAGTAGGCACTGTGTGCATCTCTTCGGTACATACTTTCCTCGTTTGGAGAAGGGTTGTCTTTTCCAGAGTAATGAGGGAAAAGTTGAACCCCTGTATGCCCAACTTTTTTTTGTTGTTGTTGTTTTTCTGGCCATTTTGATCTTGGCACATTGTTGGGTTTCCTAAAACTCATCTCAATGTTTTGCATTTCTCGTCGCTCAGATTATTTGCCCCTGGTTTGAGGGATGCCCACCGGAGTAGAGCGCTTTGTGAGGTTAAAAGGGGGTGGTTCTCTTCTCGGGGAAGAACTGTTTGCCAATCAGAACCAGCATCGGCTCCCCCACCACCCCGCACCCCAGCCACCCCTCCCACATCCGGTGCCCTTTGAGGATTTTTGTGTGGGGGAGCTGAGATGAGACGGGCCCCAGGGGGTGGAGAAAGGAGCTGAGAAGGACAGGACAGGGTGTGCTTACACACACACAAAAAAAAAAACGATGGAGAAAGAACCAGACCTGTGAGTTCAACGTCAGCAGAAGCAACACCCCCTTTCAGACAGCCGGAGCTGGGACGGGGTGGCCAGGACTGACTGACTGTCAGGGGCTGAGCCTGCGGCAGCTGGAGGTCTAGAAAGATGCTGGTACCGGGAAGTCTGTGCCGTCCACCAGGCAGAGGACGGAGCTCGGGGTGTGTCCGCTCAGAGCCTCCTAGCTGCCTTCCTAGCCGGGGTCCGACGCCTTTCCCAGCAGCGGGGGGGCCCCCAAGCCCCGCCCTGAGCTGGAGGGGAGGGCAGATGTCCACCCTGCAGGTGAGACCCTCTGGTTGCGGGAGCGCCAGGGGCAAGCGGAGCCAAAGCGTCCGTCCCCAGGGCCCTGCACGTCTGCTGTGAAAACACCGGGATCCTGCCCCGCAGGTGTCCAGGGCCCTCGCACCCCGCACGTGGCCCTGCGACGTGCCAATGCCAGCCGTGCTCAGAAGGCCCCGGGCGTGGGGCCGGGGTGTCCTCGCTGGGAGGCTTTCTTGCTGTAGGGCTGGCCTGGTGAACAGACCTCAGGCCTCCTCCTGGCCAGACAGAAGGACACTGTGCAGGGAACAGGTGCCTCTGTTGCCCCCCAGGAGGTGGACAGGAGCGCCCGTCACACCCCCCGTACCTGCTGCCCCCAGGGTCCTACGTCCGGCCTCGGCGTGGCCCCTGCCCTGTGTCAGCCGGCAGCTCCGATGTCCTCGGAGAATCTCTGGCAGGTTTTGTTTTCTTTCGTTGGCTTGACTGTAAATACATCATGGTTCGGGGCGGGGGCGGGGGGCGGGAGCTGTGTTCTTTGATCCATTCTCTGCGCTGTCACTCCTGAGCTCGGATTTCTCGATTCCTCCCAATCGCTGTTGCCAAGCCCAGGGCTGTTGTTCTATGGTTTTCTACCAGGACTCGCAGCCCTTTTAGGACATTTCGTGAGAATGAGCTCCTGGGTCCGAGTCTTATTTCCAAAAACAGATAGAATTTCCCCCAGTCCCTGGCTCCGCTCCGCTTGGATGGGAGGCTTAGTGCTCGGTCCGGGGCCCAGGGCCTGGCCTGTTGTGGCCGCGTGCTAACCGCCGGCGAGCTGGGCAGCATCTGCAGGTCCTCCTGCCTCTGCTTCTCTCCACCTAACCCCCGCCTCCTCGCCCCAAACCCTCTGATGCTGGGGTCGACCCCTCTCCCCACATGGGTCCATGTTCTCCTGCTCCGTAGCAGTCGGTGGCTGAGCAGAGCTGGCGACTCCTGGTGTGGCGCCCCAGAACCTGGCCTTCACAGTGAAGGCAGGCAGCCCCTCGGGGTGAGGGGGGAAGGGGACACAGAACCCGGGGGTGGTCGGCTGGACTCCAGGGCAACGCCGAGCGTTGGTGGGTGAGAGAAAGAAAACGCACAGACCTAATAAATATTTGCAGAATGGATTAATTAACGATTGTGGGAAATAGTCAATATTTGAAGCTGTTGTAAATACTGCGGAATGAAGAACGAACAAGAAAACCTCGTTTGGGTCTGTAGACAATGTTCTTCATAGCAGCATGGGACCATTTCATGCTGTTGGTTGCCCTGTTCATGCATCTTCCATGGCCCCATGTATCACCTACTGTGAACGAACGTGGCTGTGTGTGTGTGTAGGTGGACTTAAAAGCAAATAAGACAACAGCTTTGTCCTCAAGGAGCTTAGCGTCTAGTCGTGGAGGTCAGCAATCCGTGTGTATGATGGGGAAGCAGGCTGCGATGAATGCGCTGGGAGTTAGATAGCGAGCCGGAGGATGACAGGTAACGAGTAAAGGTGCCATTGGACACAGCCCGTCAGTCACCCTCCGAGGGGAAGAGCCTCAAGGTCGGGAGGGCCCACAAGGCTCTGACCCGGAGGAGCAGGCTGAGCTCCTCCACTCCAGCACCAGGCCGCGTTCCGCAGCGCGGGTCAGAGCAGGCGTCCTGGGAAACGCAGGCTGAGGAGGGTGCTCGGCTGATGGTTCTCCGGGGCCAGATGTGCAGGCTGTAACATCGGTGCTAAACCCTTCTCTTGTGCACATAGCCGTCTGTCCGTGCCAGTGTCTGGTCCTCTGTGTTACATCCTGAGCACGTTAGAGGGGTCACGGGGACCAGGTGGGTCTGTGCTGGAGCGCCTCATCCCACCCCGCAGTATCCCCCCAAGCCCAGCCCCTGGGCACACAGGCCAGAGTGTGGTCAGCTGCTTTCAGGAACCTCGCCCGAGGGACCCCAGGGACATCTGTGCTCAGTTCATGTTGCCCCCAGCTCCGTTTTCCTCAGGCAAACCTGAAAAAATAGGCCCTGCGCTTCCCCTTCACAGGGTCCCGTCAGCACCACCCTGCGTGACCCCGACGCGAGGTGGGGACAGAGCTTTGTCCCCAGTGGCACGTGTGCGATGGAGCAGGGTTGCCACGGTCACAGGATGCCGCCAGTGCCTTGTCCTCTTCCCAGCATCCCCAGGACCTATGTGGTGCTGGCTTTCTCCCTAAGCCACCAGGGCTGGGTGCCTCCTGGGTATCACTGTGGGCAAAATGAGAATCCAGATCGCAGCATAGACCTGGGGAACTGTTTTCTGAGTCGAGTTAAGTCCTCACAAAGGCACCTGGCGTGGAGGAACAGGGTAGGTAAGTGAGCCTGGCATCCGGGCTCTGAGTCCAGCTGAGGCCGCCGGCTCCACACGGTGGCTAAGGGCTTCCAGCAGGCGTGCTCCTAGAATATTCTCTTGCCCCTCCTCCATCTCCCATGCCCCAGCCCTGTCATCAGGCCACTGTCTCAAAAGCGGGTTGGATTCACTATGTAGACATGTTCAAATGCCTGGATTTCAGACATGAGAAAGTGGTAAAATTGGGCTAACTTCGTTATCTTTCTGTGCAAAATTCCACTGTATGAGGAAAGAATCGCTGTTTCCTGCTTCTCAAACACACACGGGGGTGAAATGACTCATGGAAAAAGACTTAGTGCGGAGAACCTTTGAACCTCTGGGGACTCAGGCATGGAGTCTGTGCCTGGCCAGTCCCCCAGACCTGTCAGCAGAGTTTTTGTCTCCACTCTTCTTTTGTTGATTTTCATTAGCCCGCAATTCATACTAGTTAAAAGTAGTACCTCTTTGAGATACAAATATACTTAAAATGCAAATAAAAATATTACGGCACTGCCTTTTTTTCTTCATTCTTTTCCTCCGCAAATATTATGTGAGTTCCTGAAGAAACCCAGAGAGAGAAGTTTGGGGGTCTTTAATTATAGTGACAGTCACAGTAGTTGCTGATAGCTATCGGGGCTTATGTCATGCCAGTTACTGTGCTGAGTCACTTTTCATTCACTGAGTTATTTAATCTGCACAACAACGACATGAGGGAGGAGGTAAGTAACTGTTACTATTCAGGAAGGATCAGAGAGGTTAAGAAATCTGTCCAGAGTCACACAGCTTACAGATCCAGGAAGACAGATCAGTGTAACTTCAGGGCAATAAAGCATCATTTCTTCTGTCACACCCCAAATGCACATCTGTCCAGTTTAAGGATGGAGAGTGTACCCTGAAGCCCTCCCTCCAGATGACAGCCTCAAGGTGGAAGGCCCTGCTGTGTGTGGTCCACACGGAAACCTCTGGCCTGTCTGTTGTGCTGAGCTGCGCCGCCCAGGAGGGGGCAGTTGGGCAGAGGGTGCCGGGCTGGGACGGGACATGTGGTACCACATGAGTCCTCAGGGCAGCTGGGTGAGAGTGCCCGCCCCAGGGCCTCTGTTCATCACCTGCCCTCTCTTTTGGGAAAGGGGCGAAGTGGGCCTGCTGCTGACGTGCCTTCTCTCTCCCCACCCTGCAGGCATGAATGCTTTACAGTTACAGAACCTGGCCACGCTGGCGGCGGCTGCAGCCGCAGCCCAGACCTCGGCCACCACCACCAATGCAAATCCTCTGTCCACCACGAGCAGCGCCCTGGGAGCTCTCACCAGTCCCGGTAAGGGGTCATCCTGCTGCTGGGAGACAGGACGCGGGGGGCAGGGCCAGGTGCAGGGTGGACACGCCCAGACCCCGCTAGGCATCAGGCTGAGTTACCTCTGTAATGTCTTATTTGTCTTTTTAATGTATCTTTATTGAGACAGAGTTGATTTACAACGTTGTGTTCATTTCTGCAGCACAGCAGAGTAACTCAGTTACACGTATATCGCCATTCTTTTTTATATTCTTCTCCGTTACGGATTATGCCTGGATTTTGAATATATTTCCCTGTGCTGTCCAGTTAGGACCGCATTGTTTATCCTTTGTGTACAAAACAATTTGCATCTGCTAATTCCAAACTCAGTTTATTCCCCGCCTACCCCCCACCTGGCAGCCACAAGGCTGTTCTCTACATCATGGGTCTGTGTCTGTTTCACGGGTAAGTTCGTTTATGCCATAACGTAGATCCCACGTAGAAGTGACGCCATGTGGCATTTGTCTTTGCCTGACTTACTCCCCTTGGTATGATAGTCTCTGGCTGCACCTTGTCTGACTGCCACACTTGGTATGACACTCTAGGTGACCTCACTGCAGACGGCACTCTTTTAAAGGCTGAGTGCCGCTCTGTCGCACGCAGGTACCACACCTTGCTTATCCATCCAGCTGTCAGTCGGCATTTAGGCTGCTTCTGTGTCTTGGCGACCGTGAATGGTGCTGTTGCGAACACAGGTGTGCAGTTACCCTTTAAAGAAACAAAAGTTTGAGCATGTGCATTTTTATCTTCCAAGGATAAGAAGAAAAGCTCTGTGAGGGAATTCTCACACGTTCCTTTTGTTTGAAAATTTTGTCGTCCCTTCCGTCCTGGTGAAGTTGCCCAGTGACGAGGCGCCTCAGTCCCTCAGGAATGCGCTTTTCTCCTGGTTTTGTGGTGGTGGTTTGTTGTTAGCAATTTAAGAATTCCCTGTTAAGTCTCAAAACCCCAAATCATCATCTGTGATGTTTCACACCAGCTACATTCTTTACTTGTGGTTTTCAGCTGGAGGTCCAGAGGGGACCGTCTTTCTTGCTCCTCTGTGGTCCCCTTCTGGGCCATGTCATTTAAAGTGAGGTTTTCTTTCCCCCTCCTTAGAAATTCTGTTGCCTTATTCAAAGGCAGATGCTGTTTTCTTTTTCATATGAGCCAGACCAAATGTGGTTGCTTAGACACCAGGATTTGTTTTTTAAAAAGTGTTTTGCTGGCTTGCCTTCCTCTCTGGGTTTTCTGGGCCTTGATGGATGATCTCACCTTCTGCTCTGGTACGTGGAGGCACTGGCCTGGACAGCCTCCAGGCCCCTTTCTAACTAACAACCCCACAGCCCTCTATCGGCCACTCCCAAAAGATGAGCCAGCTGGCCCCCACACTTCTCTGTAACAACGCAGGGTTTTCTTCTAGAAAAACAGAGAAGGGACGCTGCAGTGCCCGGCAGACCAGCCTTCTGCAGGCAACCGGCTTCAGGGAGCAGAGAAGCCCCACAGCCCTTGATTTGTTTACTGAACACCACATTTCTAACTCATTTCCCTCTGAGTTCAGTGTTGAGGGAGAGACTGAAGAGATGTTGAGGAAAGGCTGGACAATGTACCCATCACCTCATCTCAGGGCAACAGCATGTGGGACATTGCCTTCATTCTTGAAATGTCTTCAAAAACATACCGTGACAACATGTGGGCCTTATTCCACACAACAGATAATACTCCTGAAAAATCAACTTTGTAATTTTTTCAAGAGATTAAGTTATAACTAATGCAAAACATAAGCTGGTTATTTAACTATATCCTTTTAAAGAAATATGCATTTTTGACATGGTTTATTCCCCCTTATGAAAATAATAGTGATTTTTTTTTTTTCTTAAAAACACAGGTATTTGACCTCACTAGTGCCCCTGTTTTAGAAATTAGACTGAAGAATGTTTTGCTAGAAAAATAAGAATTAACCATCTTCGGACTTCCCTGACAGTCCAGTGGTTAAGACTCTGTGCTTCCACTGCAAGGGGTGCAGGTTTGACCCCTGGTTGGGGAACTAAGACCTTGCATGCTGTGAGGCCAAAAAAAAAAAAAAGAAACATCTCCCTGTGAGGACTATGAAAAGATTACATTAAAACAGCAGTCTGAACCTGAAACTAATACAATACTGTAAATCAACTATAAAAATTTTTACTCCAATACAATTTAAAAAAAAAAAACACTGTATATGGTTTTATATACATCGACCATCTGTCAGCATTTTTAACTGATATTTTTAACTGTATTTTGTTTGGAGTGAAAAAACTAAACACTTCTCAAGATCTGAGGGGTGTTTTATTTGTTTATATAAAAAGGAAAAGGATTAGGTCTTTTTTTTTTTTTTTAATTTATTTTATCACAACCATAGTGTATCTTTTTTTTTTTTTTTTTTTTACATGTATTCCCCATCCCGGTCCCCCCTCCCACCTCCCTCTCCACCCAATCCCTTTGGGTCTTCCCAGTGCACCAGGCCCGAGCACTTGTCTCATGCACCCAACCTGGGCTGGTGAACTGTTTCACCCTAGATAATATACGTGTTTCAATGCTGTTCTCTTGAAACATCCCACCCTCGCCTTCTCCCAGAGTCCACAAGTCTGTTCTATACATAGGAGTCTCTTTTTCTGTTTTGCACATAGGGTTAGGTCTTTTTTTTTTTTAAGAGAAAACACTATTAACTTTAATTTGGCAGAAGCAGATGATTGTAATTTTTCCAACCATGGCTGACTCCCTTTTATTGCAAGTAAAAAGAAGAAACTGACCACATCATTGGTAACAAGGTAGGGAAAAAAGAACATCTTTTTCCCATAAAGACTTCCTTACATGGCAAGGAGGCAGTCTGCTATTTGGTTCACCAGGCTTTAAAGAGTTTAACATTGTCACTACATTGAAATTATTCTCCTGTTCCAGAAGTGACCTTTATCATACATGGACATTTTGGTGAAGGGTATGTGGCCTGTTGGTTGCTTGGGAAGCTTCATTCAACTTTATGAAAATATATTCTTCCATTGTGACAGCTGGGTGGGAATGTGCCTTGGTTCGAGGGAATCAGAATGAATATTCCAACATTTTAGAAGGCTCATGGGTTTAAGAAGCCAAGTGCAGAAGCGTCTGTCAGCTGATCAGTGTTGATTTGCAGTTGATAGCTAGTGCTTTCCAGTGACTGTGTAGCCTTAGGCGCTGGCCTGGGTGCTGGGGACACTGCCAGGAGCAGGACACACTCCCCCCCAAGGGGTCTCCTGTCTGTCAGGGGAATTCGGACAGGGAGCAGTCGCAGGTGCCGTGTGTAAGCCAGGCAAGCACTGCGAAGAGGGCCCAGGCAGAATAAGATGGAGAGAGGAGCTGGAAGGAGGCTTTCCCCATCTGAAAGGGGAAACCTGAGGAAGGTGATGGGAGCATGGAGATGATCCGGGGCAAGGGTGTCCAGGGAGGAGGACCGAGCAGGAACAGGCTGCAGGGAGGAGGAGGACTGGCATGACGCCATCCTGAGGAAGGGTGAGATGAGGTCCATGTCTGCGGATCCACATTCATTCCATCCAGTACGGTCAGGATTGCGAGGACGTAGTGACCTTCTTAAAATGCAGAGCACTCGAACAGCCTAGGAAGGTGGCCAGAGTATGTAAGGAAACTTGAAACATACTTGGCCATTTTCAGCTTTTTCCTGAGACCTGAATGAAAGGGAAAATGTGTCCTGAGACGTATTTTCTTTCTTCCAACCCCAGTCAGGCATCCTTCCCTTTACTCTTCACATGGCGTCCAGCCCGACCAGAAATCCTGCCAACCACTGTGTCAGGGAGACGGGTTTCTCTCTTCTGTGTTGAGCAGAGCTTTGCATAAGAGCCGAAAATGTTTCATTAGAGTCCTGAAATGTGGGCAGCAGAAGCGATTTAAATCTACATTTCGATTACTTATCTTAAGTGTAACTAAAAAAATCTGGTGTTTAAGTGAAAGTAAATTATTTGTCTGATTTCCATCAGGGACTCTTCAAAGTCACAGAAAATATGGTTAGTGACAATTCATGACTCTCTGCTTCATCAGAGCAATTTTCCAGGAAATAAAAGGGATGGGATGCTAGTCTCAAGGCCAGTGTGTTTTTTTGTTGTTGTTTTTTAATAATTAAAAAAAAAAAAAAAACACGGCTTCCTGTTGAACCACGCATAACCAGCCAGTCCATTCACACTGAAAGCAGAGCTTCACCATACCAGCCTGCCCAGGTCTTGGTTTACCTGTTCTTGAGACACCTCTTGTGCTTCAGACAAATCCATCCCGGAAGTACAGGATCAGCTCAGCACCTCCAAACTTTTCCTTTTTTAACAATTGTAAATTTATCATTTCAGTTCTGCACACCCAGGAACAAACTCCCTACAGCATTATTAGAAATGATTTTAAACAGTCTATGCTTTTAAACATGAAAGATTAAGCATTATTTTTTGTAAAAAAAGAAAAGAAAAATCCCCTTAGGCAATAAATATAGGTTTGTCTCCTGGCCTTGCAATAAACATGAAAATAGTCTCAGTTGCCCATGGTTAGAATAAGTGTTTCATGCAATTATCAGATGGTAAGGAATAAAATTAGAAATTAAATCAGGAAAGAATAAAAGCCAGGTAAATGCATTATTATGCCTTTTATGAGTTTCTTATGGGTCTTTTGAAGCCTGATTTAATCGTGTTTCTTGTCTTTTATTTTGGTATGATAATTTTTCCTTTGTTTACTACAGTCTCCTATTTAGTTAATTAATTCTTGGGTCATTTCTTCTTACCCCATTTTGTGTTAAGGCGTGAGTCTCGGTGTTGGTAGAAAGGGATAAATTGTCTGTAAGGCGTGTGGCTGGGTCTTAAAGAAAGATATGAGTATCTGCCCAGCTTGTGGATCTGTTGCCTTGGCCTGGCGGTTTTGAGCGTGTGGGCATAAGCGTCAGCATTACCACTCACGAGCACTTCTCTGGCGTTTTCTGTCCAAAACGTAACATTGTGTCTGTGTAC